TTAGGATTTTGGGAGGGGGACTCACCTTCTCTCCCGCTATCTGAGGCTAGAAGCAAGGGCCAGTAGGTGGTCAAACCCGGGCCAGTCTCTCCCGATCAGCACGGGGACGGGAAGATCCTTCATGACCCCGACTTCCACCGGCCAGGCGCCCGGAGAGGCCGAAATGTTCACCCTGCGAGCGGGTACTTGTCGTGTATCCCCGTGGACACAGGTTATGGGGAGGAAGGCTTTACACTCTGTTCGGGGGGCGAGAATATGCGACTGGACCAGAGTGACCACACTGCCCGAGTCCAGGATGGCCCGGAACGGCTTTCCATTCACTTTCACTTCCACATCTGGAGCTCCCACCGGCAGGTCGCGGTGCACAATGCAGCCTGCCAGCCAGGTCCGTATGGGGACTTCCGTTGGCATGGGCTCATCCCGCGGAGAGGGAGCCGCCGGCCTGCTTACTGGTCGTGGGGTGCCCTCCGGCGCGCGCCGCTCCTGGACCACCCTCCGAGGAAAGGCGGCGCTCGCTCCCCAGCATCCCGATGTTGGGCCACATCCGCCAGCTCGACAGCCTCCACAAGCTGCGCGGTGGTGGTTGGGTTCCTCATCCCAACAGTTTGTCGGTGAGATCGGGGAAGGGCTCGGAGGAGACGGTCTATCGCAAGCTCATGCTCTGTCTCCCCTTGATGGGTGGCGAGGTGCTCAACGATCTGTTGCTGGCGGATGCTGACCTCGGTGAGCCGCTGGAGGATTTCGTCCATGTTTGGGGAGGAGTGCTCGCCTGTGACAGAACCCGGAGACTAAAACAAGGAAAAAGGTGAGGTGAAAAAATCGCTTGTCGGTGATTCTTCACTAATTCGCCTGCATTGTGTGTAACGGGGTGGTTCTACACCTTCATTTGAGTCCAGATGTGTTTGATTATACTGATTGGACTTCATTAGGAAAGCCACACAATACTTTCCGTACCCACTGTATATTGCAGTTAGGGTACTTGGACTCGGAAAACAATTATGAATGGATTTGGAGACACATAGTTTGACTTTTACTCAGACTTTTTGGACTCAGAAATTTTTCAGAGTACAGTCGAATCCACATCATGTGTAACATGAAAGATAAAAAAAACATAACATAAAATTGAGATGTCAAGACATTAATAAACATTTCCTACTCAAACTCACTTGGTTGGTTAAGGACTTGGACTCGACTCGGACCCAACACTAAATACCACTCAAAAGTCAGAATTTTTTTAAATGTTTTTAAATGAAGGCTCTTATGCTCATCAAGGCTGCATTTATTTGATCAGAAATACATGTTGTAAAACATTATTGCAATTTAAAATAACTATTTTCTGTTTGGATATATATTTTATAATGTAATTTATTCCTGTGATGTCAAAGCTGAATTTTCAGCAGCCAGTACTCCAGTCTTCAGTGTCATTTGATCCTTCAGAAATCATTTGAATATGCTAATTTGGTGCTGGCAACATTTCTTATAATATTTTTATGGAAACTGTTTTTTTAATGTATTCTTTGATTTATAGAAAGTTCAAAAGAACAGCATTCATTTGAAATAGAAATATTTTGTAACATTATAAATATCTTTACTGTCACTTTTGATCAATTGAATGCATCCTTGCAGAATGAAATAACTTCTTTAAAATTTTTTTTTAAATTTGAACTTTTGAACAGTAATGTACAGTATACACCCACACACACATACATAAGCTGTCAAGGACAGTCTGGCGCTTCTGACTCACAGCCTGTAAGTACGTTTTTTATATTTAAATAATTTGTCACTGATGATTCAAACGCAAGTTTTGAGCAGTGTAGAATAGGCTTGTTGTTTGTTGTTTCTCCGATCACAAATGCAGACATGGTTTTATGTTTACACGGCGCGATATGCAACGCATAAAAAGACAGTATAAGTCATTATAATCAGTAATTATGTCCCCACTGGACGCAACAAATGCCTCGTTTATAATGGGTTTTATTGATTTTGTCTCGTCACGCCGGAAGACGGCATCACAGTATGGTAAGGGGCGTAACATTTCCGTCACACGCTTGAGGTATTCGGCCAATCACAATGCACTGGATAGCTGGCCAATCAGAGCACACCTCACTTTTTCAGACCGATGAGCTTTGTAAGAATCGACGCCTTTCAGAAAGGCGGGGCATAGAGGAGAAACAATAATGTACATTATATGGAAAATAATGTGTTTTTTTAACCTTAAACCGCATAAACACATTGCATTACACCAAATACACAAAATAATGTTCTTTTTAGCAACGTCATATGACCCCTTTAACTGTGACATAATTATTAAATATTATTATTATTATGATTTTGCATATACGTTTTGTAATACATATCTGTTATTTCTCTGCAGTTGGAGCGGTAGCCACATGAAGTGGGGCCAGGCCTTCCGCGTACGCCACATCACAACAGGTCGGTACCTGCGTCTGGACGAGGAGAAAGGTCTAATGGTTCTGGATCCAGAGAAAGCCAACACCAAGATGTCTGCCTTCTGCTTCCGTGTATCAAAGGTAGGTTTGAACTTGATAAAAAAATATCAGCTTTTTATTTTGGCAGTTTTACTAGTTATCAAATTCTAACAGCATTTCTCATTCCTGGAGAACAGGAGAAGGTGGAGGGGGCTCAGAAGAAGCGAGATGTGGAAGGAATGGGTGTCCCTGAGATCAAGTATGGCGAGTCCATGTGTTTTATGCAGCATCTTTCCACAGGGTTGTGGCTCACATACGCTGCTTTAGATGCTAAAGCGGCTCGCCTGGGAACCATGAAGAGAAGGGTATGAAGCTCGCTGAACTACGAACCACATGCTACCAATTCATATACCTGATGGCTTGCCTTTCAGACTGTTGTGTTTCTTATGATCTTACATTTAAACCAAACTCTTTCTCTCTTTCTTTATCTTTCTTTCAGGCCATATTACATCAAGAGGGCCATATGGATGATGCACTGACTTGCTCTCGCTCTCAGATGGAAGAGTCTCAGGCTGCTCGTATGATCTACAGCACCACAGGCCTTTTTACACAGTTCATCAAGTATGACTGTGCATCACATACAATCTAACGTTTATTTATACTGTATATTATACGGTCACACTGAATATTGTGTAATACCTTATTGGCAGAATAAGAATTTGGTGATATTTAATGGTTACCTTTATTGTTTGATAAAAAAACAAAGTGAAAATATAAGCAATATGACGTTTTTTGGCTAAATGTTAGGAATTACTGTTCAAAATTTTGGTGCAGTTTTTTTTATTTTAATTTTTAATAAAAGTGTACTTTTACTTGCTCTCGCTCTCAGATGGAAGAGTCTCAGGCTGCTCGTATGATCTACAGCACCACAGGCCTTTTTACACAGTTCATCAAGTATGACTGTGCATCACATACAATCTAACGTTTATTTATACTGTATATTATACGGTCACACTGAATATTGTGTAATACCTTATTGGCAGAATAAGAATTTGGTGATATTTAATGGTTACCTTTATTGTTTGATAAAAAAACAAAGTGAAAATATAAGCAATATGACGTTTTTTGGCTAAATGTTAGGAATTACTGTTAAAAATTTTGGTGCAGTTTTTTTTTTTTTTTTTTTAATAAAAGTGTACTTTTATTAAGCAAGACATTAATACAAATATATTAAATTAAAAATTAAATAATTAAACTAAATTAAAATTATGCTGTTCTTTTGAACTTCCTTTTGATCAAAGAAATGAAATTAAATTGAAATGTTTTCAACATTGATAATGTTTCTTGAAGCAGAATATTAATATGATTTCTGAAGGATCATTTGATGTGAAAATTCAGCTTTGGCATCACAGGTATAAATTATATTTTATTGTTTATTAAAATTGAAACAGTTATTTTAAATTGCAATAATATTTCACAACATTTTTATTAAATATATAAAAAAATATTGTTATATAAATATGATATTATTAAATAATATTTTATATTATTAATATTATATAAAATATTTTATATTGTTTTAATCAAATAAATGCAGCCGTGGCGAAAATAAGAGACTTCTTTCAAACACATTAAACAATCTTACTGACCCCAAACTTTTGGTATGTATGTATGAATAAATAAATTTGACAAGTATTTTATAAATAATATAATAAAAGTATTATTTTTTAAAAAGAGTAAAATAAGTTTACTGAAAAGCTCTGAAAATGTGCCTATTCAGACTGATAATTTAAGAAAATATTTGTAGACAGTTGCCTTATATTTTCTTGTGTGTGTGTGCATGTGCGTGTTTGTGTGTGTGTGTAAATGTGCATGCATCCTCTTCTCTCTCTTACATCAGAGGTCTGGACTCTCTGAGTGGGAAGAACAAATCCCCTGGTCTGGTGTCCCTGCCACTGGACGCAGTGATCCTGTCCTTGCAGGATCTAATCCATTACTTCTGGCCTCCAGAGGAGGAGCTGGAACATGAGGAGAAACAGACCAAACTGCGTTCTCTACGCAACCGACAGAACCTCTTCCAAGAAGAGGTATGTGTGTGTGTTTGTGCCTGTCTGTCTGACAATCAACCCCGATCCCCTTTAATTAATATTTCTTTTCTGTTGCAGGGGATGATCACCATTGTGCTGGAATGTATCGACCGGCTGAATGTCTACAACACTGCTGCACACTTCTCTGAGTTTGCCGGAGAGGAAGCTGCTGAGTCCTGGAAAGAGATTGTCAACTTGCTCTATGAACTGCTTGGTGACTGAATATAAATAAATATAAATATACGCTACCAGTCAAAAGTTTTGAATAAATACGATTTTTTGAATGTTTTTGAAAGAAGTCTCTTATGCTCACCAAGGCTGCCTTTATTTGATCAAAAAACAGTAATACTGTGAAATATTTCAATTTTAAAAGTCTGTTTTCTATTTTAAAAATGTAATACATTTCTGTGGTGACATGATCCTTCAGAAAAAAATGTATATGCTGATTACTATCAATTATTATTAGTGATCAGTTATTAATAATGGTTATGATTGCATTTTAAAATATGTCTTTTAAAATGAATATTTCACATTATTACTTTTTTCTCATTTAAAAATATCACCCTTTTTTACTGTATTTTTGATTAACTAAATGCAGCCATGATGAGCATAAGAGACTTAAGGGGAAAAAAAAGAAATAATTAATTTAAATTATTTATTAAATATATAACGTTTATTGAATAGCATGTAAAAGGCATAATTTAATCAAAAAATATATATTTTTCTATTCATTCTTCATTACTTATTGATTTTTTGGATTATATTGATGGATTCGATTTGTGAATGTGTCTCTGTTTTCACAGCGTCACTGATTAGAGGAAACCGTTCTAACTGTGCTCTGTTTTGCGATAACCTGGACTGGCTGGTTAGTAAACTGGATCGTCTGGAAGCTTCTTCAGGTATTTATAACACCTTCCTCCAGCACACGGTCAACAAATGGCACAAAATGACTAACAATCCGTCTTTAAACTTTGCCACATACTTCTTGCTCTCATAATTCTTTCTTATCTGTTGGTCTTCAGGCATCCTAGAGGTGCTGTATTGTGTTTTGATTGAAAGTCCTGAAGTCTTGAACATCATTCAGGAGAATCACATCAAGTCAATCATTTCTCTCTTGGACAAGCATGGTCGAAATCATAAGGTCTGACTGCAAACGTGATTTAGGTCAACTCACATTTATCATTTTGCGACACATTGAAGATCTCACTCTCCTTTGCCTATGTCTTGACAGGTTTTAGATGTATTGCGCTCTCTGTGTGTGTGTAACGGTGTTGCTGTGAGGTCCAATCAAAACCTCATCACAGAAAATTTGCTTCCGGGCCGTGACCTCCTGCTGCAGACTAACATCGTTAACTATGTATCAAGGTAATATCTGTTGAGATATAAAGGTTTTTCTCCAATTAAAAATGCTGCATCGCACCTTTTATCGTTTACTGCAGCTTTTGTTCGTTAAAAAGTGTGCTAAATCAAAGAAATTAAAAAGATTTCAAACCGTTTACTGCAATAAATATCACTTACTCCTTGTAGCATGAGGCCCAATATCTTCTTGGGGACTTGTGAAGGTTCTACACAGTATAAGAAGTGGTACTATGAGGTGATGGTGGACTATGTGGAACCATTTGTGACAGCTCAGGCTACCCATCTGCGTGTTGGCTGGGCTCTGACTGAGGGCTTCAGTCCGTACCCAGGAGGAGGAGAGGGCTGGGGTGGCAACGGTGTGGGCGATGACCTCTATTCTTATGGCTTTGATGGCCTTCACTTGTGGTCAGGTAAATGTGGTGATCTTGCGCATTCTATATGTGTGAGTGTTTATGGTCCTTCAACTATATTTTTGGTCTGTGTAGGTCATGTGTCACGTCAGGTGACTTCACCCAACCAGCACATCCTGGCAGCAGATGACGTTGTGAGCTGCTGTCTGGATCTGAGTGTGCCCAGTATCTCCTTCTGTATCAATGGCCATCCAGTCCAGGGAATGTTTGAGAACTTCAACATAGACGGCCTCTTCTTCCCTGTCATTAGCTACTCTGCTGGAGTGAAGTAATTAATATTATTATTTTGTATTACATAGAAAATCTTTGTAGTAGGTATGTGGCGATATTAAAGGGGTCATATGACGTTGCTAAAAAGAACATTATGTTGTGTATTTGGTGTAATGCAATGTATTTATGTGGTTTAAGGTTAAAAAAACACATTATTTTCCACATACAGTACATTATTGTTTCTCCTCTATGCCCCGCCTTTCTGAAACGCGTCGATTTTTGCAAAGCTCATCGTTCTGAAAAGCAAGGTGTGCTCTGATTGGCCAGCAATCCAGTGTGCTGTGATTGGCCAAATACCTCAAGCGTGTGATGGAAATGTTACGCCCCTTACCATACTGTGATGCTGTGTCCTGGTGCGACGAGACAAAAACATTAAAACCCATTATAAACGAGGCATTTGTTGCATCCAGTGGGGACATAATTACTGATTATAATGACTTATACTGTCTTTTTATGCATTGCGTATCACGCGGCGTAAACATAAAACCATGTCTGCATTTGTGATCGGAGAAACGACAAACAACAAACAACAAGCGCTACTCTACACTGCTCAAAACTTGCGTTTGAATTGTCAGTGGCAAATTCTTTAAATATAAAAAACTTACTTACAGGCTGTGAGTCAGAAGCGCCAGACTGTCCTTGCAAAGTTGGAACTGCCCCACTTTATAGAAACAGCCTTTGTGCCACAGACGCATTGTAGGCTACTCTCCCAAGTTCAGGAAACTGAAAATGCGCTGCACACATCTGAATATTTGGGTTGAACTGTTCTGGAACAGTGTTGTAAATACAACTTAACCACTGATTTCTAGTTGTGTCCTCTTTTGGAAGGCCAAACAAAGTAGTTTCGCTTTCAAAACGAAACACACAGCGTCACACACGGCGGGCTAGAGTGAGCGGAGGCCGGCGGATTCGACGAAGGAGCGTCTGGCGGGCTTGCGGCAACTACATGTGACGACCCCGGGCTGGACTCCACTTCGTCCACGGTGAAAGCCGATCCGGCGATCCACAGCGCGAAAGTTGATTTTTGTATTTCATCAGCGACCAGCACGGATCAGCTCTAGGCATGACGAAGCGGATAACGTCCTCTTTTAGAAGGCCAAACAAAGTAGTTTCGCTTTCACAACGAAACACACAGTGCCTTCACGACATGGCAGTGGCGGCAACAACAATACTACAGCGAGAATCAAAGTTACGCCTTCTTTCTTTGCGTGAACATTTGGGTGGTGTTATGCAAATCTTCCCACACAGTGAAGTAGACATGGGGGGGCATGTTTAAACAAGGCGTTTTAGGAGGGTGTGGACAAGTCTTAACTTTTATAAAGAATATCTCTTTGGGTTTGAGACTTTAGTCTTTGCAACTTTAGGGATCTTATCTATTCACGGACAGCTTGTAACACTCCAAAGAGAAAGGAAAATTTGAAATTGCATCACATGACCCCTTTAAGATGCTGGCTCTTTTTCATTTGTATATAATTAATGGATAATATATAAATTAAACATTCAATGCACATTAAATATTTTTATTTATTTTTTATTTTTCTAAAGAAATTAATACTTTTATTTAGCAGGGGTACACAAAATTGATGTTAAAATAATTTATAATGCTTCAAAATACTTATGTTTACTCTATTTTATTCTTTTGAAGTTTATCAAAAAATCTTAAAAAAAAAAAATGTATCACAGCTTCCACAAAAAAATATTGTAAGAAATGTTTCTTGATTTCTGAAGGATCATGTGACACTGAAAACTGTAGCAATGATTGCTGAAAATTCAACTTTGCCGTCACAGAAATAAATTACATTTTAAAATAAATAGCTATTTTAAATTGTAATAATATTTCACAAAGTGACAGTTTTACTGTATTTTTGACCAAATAAATGCAGCATTGGTGAGCATAAGAGACATTTTTTAAACATAAAAAAATCTTACCGACCCCAAAAATTTTGATATTATCAAAACAGAGACAATTATTTATAAATGAAAACTAAAATCACTAGTTTTCATTTTAAAAATATGATTAATTCATACCTTTTTTCAACGGTAAACGTGCCAAAAGTAGCTTAATGTCAGCTTTGCCATCCTTTGCTAAGGCTAATGCTATCTCTGGATGGTGGAGCGTGAGATAAGTCCTCCTGTTTGTAGTATTTCTGAAGTGTTTTATATTCATACCACGCACCTCGCAAATCTTATGTCATATCCATCTCCTTCATCTCTTACTTGTTAAAAAATCTAAAAAAATAAATGTATACGTTGGATTTAAATGCAGAAGGCACTTTTTTCAGTTATTTCTCAGATGCCTCCATCTTTGAAAAATCTGACTGAAAAAGCAATTATTATTCTAGTGTCAAAAGTTCAATTCATATTTGCAATGTACATAATAAAAGATCAGTAGGCTACCTTGCGTCTGTATATTAAAACAATATTGCCATTCAAAATATTGCAATCCTATACCTCTACAATAAATCAGCTTCTTCTCTTTGTTCTTCTCCCTCCAGGTTTTATTCCAGTCTGCACTTTGGGTCTTTCTCAGGTTGGCCGTATTAACCTGGGTCAGAAAGTTAGCAGCCTACGTTACTTCGCCATCTGTGGCCTCCAAGAAGGCTTTGAGCCATTCGCCATCAACATGAAGAGAGACATCACAATGTGGTTCAGTAAGAGCCTCCCCCAATATGTTCCAGTGCCCACCGACCACAACCACATTGAGGTATTTAAGCAATATTTGTGTCATTTAGTTTAGATTAATGGTATAGATAAAGTTTCTGAATCTTCTTATTGTTCTCATGTGACCTGTAGGTCTCTCGTGTTGATGGAACCGTAGACAGCGCCCCCTGTATTAAAATAACCCACAGGACTTTCGGATCCCAAAATGCCAACACAGACATGCTGTTCTTCAGACTAAGCATGCCTGTAGAGTTCCACCTGACCTTCAAGGTGCCTGCAGGCACCACTCCCCTCACACGAACCCTCACCATCCCTGAAGAAGAGGTACTGGAGGTGGACCCCCACTCTGACTACGAGGTGCTGAAGAAGTCAGCCAGTCGCAAAGAGCAGGAGGAGAAGGAAAAGGAGCCATCTGTGCCCAAAGATATCCCGGGCATTAAGGAAAATGACAAAGACACTGCATCCGAGAAAGGAAAGAAGAAAGGGTGAGATCTGAGAACTTTTACATACTTTACAAAAGAGGAATTATTAAGGACAATATACTTTAAAAGAAAATACTTGAGTGAGAACTGAATGTAATGTTTTCAGACATTAATTGCATGTTAACTCCAATTAAATGAAAATGCATTATAGTTTAAATTTATATTAAGTGCAACTTTAGAGTGCTTTTTGACCCCGCTTAAGTAGGACTTAAGTTCATATTTATATGTAATTTCATAATTACTTCTATTGTCTTGGAAAAATGGTTAAAATGTACTACCGAAAATAAGATAAACTTTAATGTAATTTTATTGAAACTTGTATATCATATATTTAAATATATTTGTAATTACACATTTGTAATGATGAAGTTGCAATTTAGTACATTTAAAATATATTAACTTTAAAAATGTAAAATGTCGAAAAACACTAGTTAAAATTATAATCAAATACTTTATTTGTGCTTTAGTATGTTAGTCGGCAAATAAGTGTACTTTAAGTGTACTTTTTAATTTGACATTATTACAAAATGGATTTTTGTTCTTAAGTGTGTTAAGAAACAATCATGAAAGTACACTTAAGTGGCCTTTTATTTCAGTAATATTATATTATTTTCAAGTAAAGTTTTTTTAATATTCTTTACAGATTCAAAGTACACCACAAGTGCACATTCAATACAATTAAGCACACTTCTTTTTCAGAAAATGTAGTTCATGCTTGACCCCTCAAAATTCTTCCCTCAGCTTCCTGTTTAAAGCTAAAACGGCAGCCATGATCGCTCCTCCTCCACCTCCACCTATTATGCCCCGTTTGTTTGAGGATGTGGTGCCTGACGATCGTGACGACCCAGAAATCATCCTCAATACGACCACAGTCAGTCTTCATTGCAAGATTTGTAGTATGTAACACACTGTTTGCTCTTTTTTTTACTTATGCTTCTCTCTCTGCCTGTCTCAACTGCTTAGTATTATTACTCGGTCCGTATCTTCGCCGGTCAAGAACCTAGTGGGGTATGGGTGGGTTGGGTCACCCCAGACTTCCACATGTATGACCTTAGCTTTGACCTGTCTAAGGTCATCTTCGCCGGTCAAGAACCTAGTGGGGTATGGGTGGGTTGGGTCACCCCAGACTTCCACATGTATGACCTCAGCTTTGACCTGTCTAAGGTCCGTACTGTCACTTTGACTGTTGGAGACGACAAGGGCAACATACACGACAGGTGAGATGACAAAATTCTGCCATGTCAAATTATTGAAATGTAGCCCAATGAAGACAAATACAAGAAGCTGCAGTGTGGAGAGGCATTTAGTTAAAAATAAATGTTCGGTATAGTGAGGTGATGTAGGTGAATATCGATTTTGGTGCACCGGTAGCCTAGTTCAGTCACCAACCATCAGAATAGGTTGGGAGCAATCTAATGCCTACATTTATCATATTTTCAGTGTAGTATTTTGGATGTACAAAAAATTTGGAACTAGAACAATAATTGAAAGAAAATTACATTAATAAATATTTTTATTAATGAGTATTTATTCTTGATTTTCAAAAAAAATTTAAACAGCCTTGAAACAAGATAAATGTATTTGAGAACCAAATTAAATAGCAAGAGTTTTCAGAGGATATATTTTGAATTTCCTGTGACTTTGGCAAATAGTTCTTATTTTAGGCACAAACTTCACTATTTATGTGTCAGTGTCACATGATCTTTCAGAAATCACTCTAATATGCTGATTTAGTGCTCAATAAAAAGCATTTATTTGAAAAGAACAGCATTTATTTGAAATATAATTATTAAATAGAAATGAATGTATCCTTTCTGAATAAAAATATTAATTAAAAAGAAAGAAAGAACCACAAGAAGACCACAAACTTTTTATTGGTATTGTAGAATTTTGATTAAGCTACAAAGTTACAAAATGTGTTAATTCATCACTCAGGAATGTGAAACTTAACAGTATTCTGTTTGCTTATCAGTATGAGGAGGAGTAACTGCTATATGGTGTGGGGAGGAGAGTTTGGGAGCAACACCCAGCAGAGGTTCAGCCAGGAGGATCTGGTGATTGGTTGCTTGGTTGACCTGGCAACAGGTCTCATGAATTTCACAGCCAATGGGAAAGAGATCAACACTTTCTACCAGGTAAGTGAAGGTCATCTCTTCAAAGGAGGAGCTGTAGTGGCACTCAAAAATTCCCTAACTTCTGTTAGGAGTGCATTTTCTTCTTTTGAACTCATATGTATACATATGCTCTCTCAGGTGGAGCCCAACATTAAGCTGTTCCCAGCTGTGTTTGTATTGCCGACCAGCCAGAACATGCTGCAGCTGGAACTCGGAAAACTCAAGGTCTTCGCTATCCTCTGCTTCTGGCACTAAAAGTCATCAGCTTTCTTTTAGAAATACTTTTACTGAACATTTGTAGCCTTATTGTAGCCTTTTTTCTCCATCCCATAGAATATCATGCCTCTTTCGGCAGCCATGTTCCGTAGTGAGCGCAAGAACCCAGTGCCCCAGTGTCCTCCGAGGCTGGATGTTGAGATGCTGACCCCTGTAATCTGGAGCCGGATGCCCAACCACTTCCTGAATCCAAAAGTGGGGCGGGTGAGCAAGAGGCATGGCTGGATGGTGGAATGTACAGAGCCTCTCAGCATGATGGCTCTGCATATACCTGAAGAGAACAGGTACAGGAGAACGAGACAAGAAAAAAAAATCTAAATCGAAAACAATACCTCGCAGAAAAAAAAAGCTAAAACCAGGCTGTTCTTGGCTGTTCTTAGCTGGTTTAAGCTGGTCTCCCAGCCTGGCCAAGCTGGTTTTAGCTGTTTTTTTTCAGCAGGGACTTGAAAAAAAAATCTATCATTCATCTATCTATCTATCTATCTATCTATCTATCTATCTGCCTAGCAACCACCCAGGACATCCAAGCAACCAAGTAGCAAACACCCAAGAAACTGCATAGCAACACCTTAGCAACCACCTAACAATGACCATGAACACCCTAGCAACTGCTTACCAACCACCTAGAACATCCTAACAAACAAATAGCAACACACTAGCAACCACCCAGCAAAAACCTTAGCAACCACCCCAGCAGCTGCATAGCAACATCCTATTAACCACCAAGCAGTGACTATGACCACCCTAACAACCAACCCACAACACCCTAGCAACCATGTAGAAACCATCCAGAAGACCCTAGCAGCTGCCAGGCAGCGACCAAGAACACTTCAAAAATTCTTTCTGGCCAGGCTTTCTCAAGCTGACATCAAAGTTTGTCTTGACAAATTTTTTTAATCTAGTTGTTGTATATTGTTAAATAGTGGACGTGTTCCTCTTTCTCGTATGCAGGTGTATTGACATCCTGGAACTGTCTGAGCGGCATGACTTGCTGAAGTTCCACTATCACACTCTGATGCTTTATTGCGCCGTGTGTGCGTTGGGCAACAACCGTGTGGCTCATGCCCTCTGCAGCAGCCACGTGGACGAATCACAGCTCTTCTACGCTATCGAGAATACCTACCTGCCAGGCCCTCTTCGCAGCGGCTACTACGACCTTCTCATCAGTATCCACCTGGAGTCAGCCAAACGCAACCGCTTGGGAACTAATCGTGAGTTTATTATTCCAATGACAGAAGAGACGCTCAGCATCACGTTTTTCCCGGATGCAGAGGCGGCCCATGATCTGCCAGGAGTGGGTCTCACGACCTGCCTCAGACCCAAGCTACACTTCTCCCCTATCAACTTTGTGGGTACTGACCCAGATCTGTACACCCTAAGCCCCATTATACCTCTGCAGGTACGATGAGGATACAGTGGGGTCCAAACCTGATTGTTGGTAGACAGATGATCTCGTTGCTAATATCTGAACTTTTTCTGCCCTTACAGGAGCTGAAGACCAAGGCTCTAAGCATGCTTACCGAAGCCGTGTTTGATGGCAGCCAGGCCATGCGCGATCCTGTTGGGGGCAGCGTTGAGTTCCACTTCGTTCCCATTCTCAAACTCATCAGCACCCTCCTCATTATGGGCATCTTCAACAATGAAGACATCAAGCACATTCTAAAGATGATCGATCCCAATGTGTTTGGGAAAAAAGAGGAGGCAGGAGAGACAGAGGAACTAGGAGAGGAGGTGAAGGAGAAGGAAGAAGCGGCTGAAAGAGAGGAGGAAGCCGTGGATGAGGGAGTTGGGGAGGAGGAGGATGATGAGGAGCTGAAAGCGCTGAAGAAGGAGGAGGGACAGGAAGGAGAAGAGGTTGAGAAGGCAGTAGAGGAGGAGGAAGGAGAAAAGGTGGATGGAGAAAAAGCGGAGGAGGAAAAGGAGGCAGAAGAAGTAGGAGAGGAGGCTAAAGAGGAGGAAGAGGAGGCACCAGAGGAGGGACTACTTCAAATGAAGCTTCCAGAGGCTGTAAAACTGCAGGCAAGTTTAATCGCTAGATCTATCTGTCTGTCTGTCTATCTGTCTCTGTCTCTCTGTCTGTCTGTCTATTGATTTGTTTGTTTGTATACTGTATATGTATATCTATTTTATTGTCTGCCTGCCTGCCTGTCTGTCTATCTATCTATCTATCTGTCCGTCCGTCCGTCCGTCAATTATTGCATATACTGTATATTATGTATATTTTCTCTTGTTTGTATATTTTATTAATACTGTCTCCGTCTGTTTGTCTGTCTCATCTTTCAGATGTGCACCCTTCTACAGTATTTCTGTGACTGTGAGCTCAGACACAGAGTTGAGGCTATTTTGGCATTCTCTGATAAATTTGTAAGGCACATCCAGGCAAACCAGCGTGAACGATATAATGACCTAATGAGAGCATTTACTATGAGTGCTGCAGAGACCGCTCGCAGGACCAGAGAGTTTCGCTCTCCTCCTCAGGAACAAGTATAATGCACAACTCTTTACTTTAAAACCACATATAATTTTTGTTGCTTTCAGGGAGAATAATCACTGATTATGTGCATATATGTAGGTTTTCCTGTTGACTAACTTCAAGCACAGCCCAGAAGAAGAGGATTGCCCCGTGCCAGAGGAAGTGCGGGAAACCCTCCAGAATTTCCACAATGAACTCCTGAATCACTGTGGTCAGTTTTCAAAATATCTCACAAAAATTACTGTACGGCCACATTACAACAATTAAACACCAAGAAGCTGCTGCTGCAAATTCACCTTGGATCAAATTCTCTACAGCTAATTCAGTTTCTGGTTCTTCTGAAGATTTAAACTGAAAAATTATGACAAAAAAAATATATTATTGGACTGTGTGGTTCTTATCCATATTTGTTTTTGTACCTCAGGTGTTTACGTAGAAGAAGAAGCAGAGGAGGAAGAGGTAGATGCGTCTCTGAGAGGGAGACTACTCAGTTTAGTGGAGAAGATCAAGACCTTTAGGAAGAAAAAGGAGGAAGAGGAGCCAGAACCAGAGGAAGAGCTCAAACCTAGTGAGTAAATGTAGTCAAATGTCTTGAGAAGGTTGTTCAGATTAACTCATCTCATGGATGCAATTATAGATCAATATTTTTGCTTTTAGTTCAAAATTGTACTATTTTTATTTTTAGTGTTAGTCTAACATTTCCAGAACATTCTATGCCCCAGGTACTTTACAGGAGCTGATATCCCACACAATGATCCACTGGGCACAGGAGTCCTTTATTCAGAACCCTGAGCTGGTGCGGCTCATGTTCAGTCTTCTTCACCGGCAGTATGACGCTCTGGGAGAGCTGATCCGTGCCCTGCCAAAGGCCTATGCCATCAACGCTGTGTCTGTACAGGACACAATGGACATGCTGGAGTGCCTGGGACAGATCCGCTCCCTTCTCATCGTCCAGATGGGCCCGGAAGAGGAGAGGCTTATGATTCAGAGCATTGGGTGGGTACTTAAAATGACTGGATATCTAATAATAATAATAATAATTCCTTACATTTATATAGCGCTTTTCTGGGCACTCAAAGCGCTTTACATAGAAAGGGGGAATCTCCTTAACCACCACCAGTGTGCAGCATCCACCTGGATGATATATATTGCGCCAGAACGCCCACCACACACCAGCTTATTGGTGGAGAGAAAACAGAGTGATGAAGCCAATCAGCAGATATGGGGATGGTTAGGAGGCCATGATGATCAGAGGCCAATGGGTGAATTTGGCCAGGATGCCGGGGTTACACCCCTACTCTTTTTCGAAGGACATCCTGGGATTTTTAATGACCACAGAGAGTCAGGACCTCGGTTTAATGTCTCATCCGAAAGACTAATTAAAATGCAATTTATTCCTGATGGCAAATCTTAATTTTCAGCAGCCATTATTCCAGTCTTGAGTGTCACATGATTTTTCAGAAATCATTCTAATATAATGATTTGGTGCTCAAGTAACATTTCTTATTATTATCAATTTAAAAAACAACAAAAAAACAGCAACAAAAAAAACTGCTTAATATTTTTGTGTGGAAAAAAATTATGTAATATTTCAGGATGCTTTAATAAATAGAAAGTTTTAAAGGGTAGCTTTTATTTGAAATAAAAAAGGTTTTGTAACAATATTGACAATATATAACAAAAAAAAAAAAGTTTCTGACCCCAAATTGTGGTGAATCTTGTTTGTGTTCATGCCCTGAACTTATCTAGAGTCATTTATGCTTATCTGGACATATCTTTTGTGTCATGTGTAGTATTTCAAATACTAAAAATGCGTATTGTCTTCTGTCTCATAGGAACACCATGAACAACAAGTTGTTCTACCAGCACCCTAACCTGATGCGAGCACTGGGCATGCATGAGACGGTCATGGAGGTTATGGTCAATGTACTAGGAGGTGGAGGAGACTCCAAGGTACTTTCCTGTTTACTGTATGTATAAGGGTACTTTACTGTATATACGGGGGCACAGGAAGATGTTTTAGGTTGGGGTGCTGTACACGCGGAGTGGCAATTATCTGCACCTCAGTATTGTAGTACAGTATAAAACAATATGCAATAATAACGTATTGAGTGTAAATTACAATTTTATAATTCAAATTATTAAATGGATCCCATTTTTGGGACAATAAAGCCCTCCCTACACCTAGCCTAACCCTACCCGATACTTTATTTTCAACTTTTTGAATATTTCCTTCATTTTTATTAAAAATAAATTTTCTGATGTGATTTGAAATTTGAAAAGGGAGAAAAAAAGTTTGCCAAAAGGCAGATTCGAACTCGGGTCGATCGTGTCAAAATGAATAGGCTAAGATACACGCTTTACCATCTACTCCACTGAATCTGACAACTGATGACCGTCTTTTGTAATGTTGACTATCCCAATCACACGTTGGTGGGTGGAGTTAGTGTAAATAGCTTCTGCCAACAAGGCGGGCTATTTGCACTTAGTGTAAATAGACACTCCGGGTCGACAACAACAACAGGTATAGTTCAGGCAAGACAAAAGAGTAATCCTAGGGCAAGCGTGGGTCATCGATCGGCAAACAAAATCCAGAGGGCTTGACAAGAGGGGTAATCCAATAACACCAGCAATAGTCCAGGCGAGGTGCAAACACAATCTGAAACAGCAAGGCAAAGGGTAAATCCAAGTAAAAAATGCTATAATTTTTGCACCTATAGGTGAAAAATCTTTTGATTTGCCATGTTGCATGTTGCATTTAGCTAAAGATTTTTTAATCTCTGTATTTTTGCATTTGTTGATGCTGAAAATCAGTTATACTGGGATCCTAGTCTAAAAAAATATATTAAAAACGCAAAACACACCTGATGCGAATTCTTTGCTCTTAATTTTCTATAAGCAGAGTTAACAGACCATGTTGTATTTTCTTGTAATTTATTAAAAGAAGGTACAGCGCCATCTTGTGCCGACTAAACTGACTTGAACGCCCTTGACGTCGTAATTACGACTTGTCAACTCGCAAGTATGAACGTCCCAGGAGGACTTGAATGCAGCAGAAGACTAGATGACAAGGTCAATAAACGATAACTAAGACTATATCAACATGCAATTTCGTCCAAGACAGGCTATAAACTTCAGGGCAGGCAGAGATCAGACAAAACGAGATAACAGGCAAGGATCAAGACACGGATAAACAAACTATGAACAAGGCTAAACTAGACTCAGTAAACTTGGAATGGCTCCGGGAGAGTAGTGTTAATTTCATTAACGTAGACTATGACGAAAAATGTTCATTGATTAGCTTTTTTTCCATGACTGACAAGACGACTGGTGCGTTCAAGTCATGTCGGATAGATTGCATTTACGAGTTGAACGCACATGAATGCCACCACAAAGTCGTTATTACGAGTGGGAAACTCTAAATTTTCTTTAAGCCCCGAGTTGGGGGCGTGTGTCAATGAGAAACATGGCGGAATCGATGAATGCAACGCCTGTACTTGACGGTAAATTTTTGTTTAAATTGCTAGTTTAGTTGTCCTATAAACTTAAATTGGTCATGTTCTTGTTACGCAGCTAGTTAATGAAATCCAAGTAAAAAATGCTATAATTTTTGCACCTATAGGTGAAAAATCTTTTGATTTGCCATGTTGCATGTTGCATTTAGCTAAAGATTTTTTAATCTCTGTATTTTTGCATTTGTTGATGCTGAAAATCAGTTATACTGGGATCCTAGTCTAAAAAAATATATTAAAAACGCAAAACACACCTGATGCGAATTCTTTGCTCTTAATTTTCTATAAGCAGAGTTAACAGACCATGTTGTATTTTCTTGTAATTTATTAAAAGAAGGTACAGCGCCATCTTGTGCCGACTAAACTGACTTGAACGCCCTTGACGTCGTAATTACGACTTGTCAACTCGCAAGTATGAACGTCCCAGGAGGACTTGAATGCAGCAGAAGACTAGATGACAAGGTCAATAAACGATAACTAAGACTATATCAACATGCAATTTCGTTGACGAAATAAGACGAGACTAAAATGTATTCAAAAAGATAAAAACTTTACAAAAAAACTCTTTTTATTTTCGTTAAAAAAGGAGACAAAATGTTATTGCAGACTGCTCTACACGCCTCTACTATTACTCTACGGTTGCCAGATATCAAGAGTTCTAATCCCCGAATCAGAGCTTCGCTGTTAAATTCATAAATTTTCTGCCCAGTGTGTTTTGCTTATTTTAAGCAATTTTAAGCAATCGCTCACTCTTCATTGCGGAAGCGCCGCCGCAGATGATCTGAAAAACAAACAAGCTGGAGTTTAGCTATCTAAATGAAAGCGTCATTCAGCCGATCAGTGTTCTGTCATGAGATCTCACTATATTGTTTGCAATTGTGATAGCTGAATAAATACACTTACTCAATCGCTGTTGTTTTAATAGAGAAATAGACTATTTCAATTATGGAATTAGTGGAATTGCTAGGAATTGCACTGTTGTAATATTTTTTGTTTGTTTTAGCTGTTTTCATAATGTAGACAGAGAGATTGCATAAGTCTTTGGTGTTGATTTATATAATAAAAAGCCTATAAAAAATCAGTACACTAGATGAGGTAAAATACACCATGTATGTGTCCACATTCTATTGGTTTGTGCTTACTGGAGAAAGTGCAATACCTGAAATGCAAAAGTAAATTTCTCAAATGACAACAATCATTACGATTACAATTTTGAGCAAAAATTATTTTGATCAGTTTAACCAGGGCAGGCAGAGATCAGACAAAACGAGATAACAGGCAAGGATCAAGACACGGATAAACAAACTATGAACAAGGCTAAACTAGACTCAGTAAACTTGGAATGGCTCCGGGAGAGTAGTGTTAATTTCATTAACGTAGACTATGACGAAAAATGTTCATTGATTAGCTTTTTTTCCATGACTGACAAGACGACTGGTGCGTTCAAGTCATGTCGGATAGATTGCATTTACGAGTTGAACGCACATGAATGCCACCACAAAGTCGTTATTACGAGTGGGAAACTCTAAATTTTCTTTAAGCCCCGAGTTGGGGGCGTGTGTCAATGAGAAACATGGCGGAATCGATGAATGCAACGCCTGTACTTGACGGTAAATTTTTGTTTAAATTGCTAGTTTAGTTGTCCTATAAACTTAAATTGGTCATGTTCTTGTTACGCAGCTAGTTAATGAAATCCAAGTAAAAAATGCTATAATTTTTGCACCTATAGGTGAAAAATCTTTTGATTTGCCATGTTGCATGTTGCATTTAGCTAAAGATTTTTTAATCTCTGTATTTTTGCATTTGTTGATGCTGAAAATCAGTTATACTGGGATCCTAGTCTAAAAAAATATATTAAAAACGCAAAACACACCTGATGCGAATTCTTTGCTCTTAATTTTCTATAAGCAGAGTTAACAGACCATGTTGTATTTTCTTGTAATTTATTAAAAGAAGGTACAGCGCCATCTTGTGCCGACTAAACTGACTTGAACGCCCTTGACGTCGTAATTACGACTTGTCAACTCGCAAGTACGAACGTCCCAGGAGGACTTGAATGCAGCAGAAGACTAGATGACAAGGTCAATAAACGATAACTAAGACTATATCAACATGCAATTTCGTTGACGAAATAAGACGAGACTAAAATGTATTCAAAAAGATAAAAACTTTACAAAAAAACTCTTTTTATTTTCGTTAAAAAAGGAGACAAAATGTTATTGCAGACTGCTCTACACGCCTCTACTATGCGAGCTCTCATGAGTGCGGTTGCCAGATATCAAGAGTTCTAATCCCCGAATCAGAGCTTCGCTGTTAAATTCATAAATTTTCTGTTTTGCTTATTTTAAGCAATTTTAAGCAATCGCTCACTCTTCATTGCGGAAGCGCCGCCGCAGATGATCTGAAAAACAAACAAGCTGGAGTTTAGCTATCTAAATGAAAGCGTCATTCAGCCGATCAGTGTTCTGTCATGAGATCTCACTATATTGTTTGCAATTGTGATAGCTGAATAAATACACTTACTCAATCGCTGTTGTTTTAATAGAGAAATAGACTATTTCAATTATGGAATTAGTGGAATTGCTAGGAATTGCACTGTTGTAATATTTTTTGTTTGTTTTAGCTGTTTTCATAATGTAGACAGAGAGATTGCATAAAATGTAAGTCTGAGCTGTTTTAACTGAAATAAACTTGCACTGACTGATCTTAAAATATATCAGTGCCTTTGTTTTGTCTCAAGACACACACCAGTAATGTTATTTTCTAAGGCACATCTATAAAAATTACTTAAATATCCTAATTGAACTATGGCCTAATCCTGGTTTAGTCTAAGCCCTGTCTGTGAAACCTGGCCTTAGTCGACTAAAACTTGATTAAAAATAAATAGGATAAGGTTGACTAAATATGAGAAAAACTAACAAGGACATTTTAGCCCGGGACTAAGACTAAGACTAAAATGAAAATAGATGACAAAATTAACACTACGGGAGAGTGATAAATGCTAAACAATACTCGGCCATCTGAACAGACTCTGAGTGGGTGTTATATAGTGTGTGTGATTGGTTTCAGGTGAGTGTGTGATCAGTGAAATGGTAGATGGGAAATGTAGTCCAAGGTAATGTGAATCAGTCTATATAGTGTGAGAGTCAATATGATGGAAGGGTGGCAATCGGACAGAAGTCCTCAGACCGGATTCGTGACAATATATATATATATATATATATACACAAACCCGATTCCAAAAAAGTTGGGACACTGTACAAATTGTGAATAAAAACAGAATGCAATGATGTGGAAGTTTCAAATTTCAATATTTTATTCAGAATACAACATAGATGACATATCAAATGTTTAAACTGAGAAAATGAGATTTGTAAATTATTCCATTCCTTTTTTACTCACAATTTGTACAGTGTCCCAACTTTTTTGGAATTGGGTTTGTATATATATATATATATATACTGAACATTTAAAACTGATATTCTTGGACAAGGATCCGACTCTGTCAATGAAACTGATGTAAAGGGAAACAAACTTTTTTGTTTTTCCATAGGAAATTCGATTCCCACAAATGGTGACCAGTTGCTGTCGCTTCCTGTGCTACTTCTGCAGGATCAGCCGTCAGAACCAGCGTTCCATGTTTGACCATCTCTCATACCTGCTGCAGAACAGTGGCATTGGACTGGGTTGGTCACTTTTTAAAACTTAACTGATACAGATAGCATATTTTTTATCATTGTTGGGTCTGTTCACACCAACGATAACTATAACAATAACTCTAATTCTGTGAGCATAGGGAAGTCCACAGCACAGCTATAACGATGACAACACAGAGGAAAGATATCATTGGAATCACTTTCAGAATGATTTTTTTTCTAGCTGATGAATGATAAAAACATTGACAACCAATTGGAATCCACCAGAGTTCAAAAAGCTTGCACATTTAAATGGGTAGACGACATAACTGCAGTGCATGCTTATAATAAATAGAACTCATCTGTAGATGTGGACGCTAACATGGTTATCATTATTGTTATTGTTCTTAGTAACACTTTACAATGAGGATCCATTTATTAACATTAGTTAACATTAAATAATTAAATACATAATTTCAACATTTACTAATTATTTTTTTAAATAAAAGTTGTATCTGTTGACATTGGATAATTCAATTAAAGGGGTCATATGATGCTGCTAAAAAGAACATTATTTTGTGTATTTGGTGTAATGAAATGTGTTTATGCGGTTCAAAGTTTAAAAAACACATTCTGAACTTTTATAAAGAATATCTCTTTGGATTTGAGACTTTAGTTTTTGCAACTTTACAGATCTTATTTATGCACCAAGAGCTTGTAACACTCCAAAGAGAAAGGAAAAATTGAAATCGCATCATATGACCCCTTTAACATGAGTAGCCAATGAACAATTGCATTTTTATTAACTAACACTGAAAAAGATGAATAAATGCTGTAAAATGTATTACACATTGTTAGTTTATGTTGGCTAATCCTTTAACTAATGTTAACAAATGAGACCTTATTGTTAAAGAATTTCTGTTGTTACAGAAATTTGTAAATAATTAACGCATAGTTCCTTAAAGAAAATCTAAATAATATTAAAAGAATACAATTTAGGATCATAATATTACTTGGTTTAGTTTTTTTCGTTTAAAGAATTTCAAATTTTTTTGTGTTGCTTTTTAGGGATGCGTGGATCTACTCCTCTGGATGTTGCTGCCGCGTCTTGCATTGACAACAATGAGCTGGCACTGGCTCTGCAAGAGCAAGACCTTGATATGGTAATGCTCTGAACAAATTGTATTTTGTATCTAATGATTTTATTGTACAGTACATTTATGATGTATTACTGCAAAAAACAAACAAACAAACAAACAAAAAAATTGGTTCACTATGCTACTCAGGTGGTGACGTATCTGGCTGGATGTGGCCTTCGGATGTGCCCCATGCTTCTGTCTAAAGGCTACCCTGACATAGGATGGAATCCAGGTGGAGGAGAGAGATATCTGGACTTCCTGCGTTTTGCTGTTTTTGTAAATGGTGAGCATATTTAGTGTAATTCTGTTTCTGACTCCTCTGTTTGAAGGCATTTAGAATGAAATTTTTTGTGTTTGTGTCTCCCCTGCAGGTGAGAGTGTAGAGGAGAACGCCAATGTGGTTGTTCGTCTGTTGATTCGTCGGCCTGAGTGCTTCGGCCCTGCTCTGAGAGGAGAGGGAGGTGCAGGTCTATTAGCTGCCATCAAAGAAGCCATTAAGATCTCTGAGGACCCTGCCAGAGATGGGCCAACTCCTAAAAAGGACAGACGTTTCATGTAAGACGTTCGGAAGTGAATGCTTGCTGTGTATTTAATATTTTGCTTTCTATTTAAACAATTTGTCATTATATCATGTTATCTATATTCCATTTTTTGCCCCTTGTGATTGATTGACAGGTTTGGAGGGGAGGAGCAGCATGAAGAGAATAGAATGCATCTTGGAAATGCTATCATGTCATTTTACTCTGCTCTTATTGACTTGCTGGGTCGCTGCGCTCCTGAGATGCATGTAAGTATAACTACTTGAATAATTTACCTGTGAAGTCCATGACAAACATTTTTATTTTATTTTTTTTGTGAAAGAGGTCTCACATGCTCCCCAAGGCTGCATTTATTTGATTTAAATACAGTAAAAATAGTAATATTGTGAAATAATATTACAATTTAAAATAAGTTTATTTCTATTTTACCCACAGTTGATCCAAGCAGGTAAAGGTGAAGCTTTGAGAATCAGAGCCATCTTGAGGTCTCTCGTACCCATTGAAGACCTGGTGGGAGTCATCAGCCTTCCTGTTCAGATCCCCACCTTTGGCAAAGGTACACAAAATGGTCACCATGTGACCGTTTCTTATATTAATCTTTATTTTTTCTGTCTGTTTTACTCTGTGGTGGAAACAGGCTTCCATCCAACTTCTGTATACTCTTCTCATTTTTCCTGTGCTACTTTTCATAGATGGTCAGATTGTTGAGCCAAAAATGTCAGCGAGTTTCGTGCCAGACCACAAAGCCTCCATGGTGCTTTTCTTGGACAGAGTGTACGGCATAGATAACCAGGACTTCCTGTTGCATGTGCTAGAGGTGGGCTTCCTGCCCGATATGAGAGCTGCAGCCTCTCTAGATACGGTGAGCTTTTAGTATTGTCAGTCATATTTCATCATCTCTTCTTTACCTTTCATAATATATAACATAATATAAACACTGATCTTAATTGTGATGTTCCATCAGGCGGCATTTAGCACCACAGAGATGGCTCTGGCTCTAAACCGTTACCTGTGCTCAGCTGTGCTTCCTCTGCTCACAAAGTGTGCCCCACTGTTCGCTGGCACAGACCACCGTGCCATCATGATCGACTCAATGCTGCACACCATCTACAGACTGTCCCGGGGACATGCCCTTACCAAGGCCCAGAGGGATGTCATCGAGGACTGCCTTATGTCTCTTGTCAAGTTAGTCCACTCTGTAACGTCTGTCCTAAAATGTAGAAATGAAAACATAAAATGTTATTGCTAATCAAGTAATATTTGTGTATTTTAGGGATTTGCAGCCATCTATGTTGCAGCATCTGTTGAGAAGGCTGGTGTTTGACGTGCCAATCTTAAACGAGTATGCCAAGATGCCCCTCAAGGTATGATTAGTTACATTGAATTTTTAGTTACATTGAATTTGTGTGTTTCTTGTGCTCATGTTTTGTGCTTTAATTTAATTTAGTTGTTGACCAATCACTATGAGCGCTGCTGGAAGTATTACTGCCTACCAAATGGATGGGCAAACTTTGGAGTCACATCAGAAGAAGAATTGCATCTCTCTCGCAAACTCTTCTGGGGCATCTTTGAGTCCCTCGCACACAAGGTTTGACAAACATTTAGTCTCAACAGACAAATTCAAACTGAAATGTGCACTTACACGCCATCTCATCTCTGTAGAAATTTGATGCAGAGCTGTTTAAGATCGCCATGCCCTGCATCTGCGCCATTGCGGGTGCCATCCCTCCAGACTATGTGGATGCTAGCTATTCATCTATGACTGAGAAGAAAGCATCTGTCGACGCTGAAGGAAATTTTGACCCCAAACCAGTGGAGACAACAAAGTGAGAAAATGATCAGCTAGTACAATTACTGTATTCACTTTGCATTTATAAATGTGCATTGTGTATTTGAATGTATTTATATAGATTTATTTATACAGATTTATGGTAACATTTTAGTTTAGGGACCAATTCTCACTATTAACTACTTGCTTATTAGCATGCGCATTACTAGCATAGTGGCTGTTTATTAGTATGTATAAAGCAACTATTATGCCTTATTCTGCATGACCATTTTAATAATCCTACCCCATACCTAAACTTAAAAACTACCTAACTAACTATTAATGAGCTGCAACTTAGGAGTTTTTATTGAGGCAAAAGTTGTAGTTAAATAGTTAGTGAAAATTGGGAATCAACAACAGTAATTATTATTATTATTATTATTATTTAAGTACTTTTTAAATATTATTTATATGTTATAATATTAAAATGCTTATATGTTATATAGTTGTATAGTCACATTGAATCAGGGTAAAAAAAAAATCATCCTTATCTGATCACATTTAACCTCATTGATATTAACAGAAATAATCATTTTGAGGGAGTCAAAAAAAGATTTGTATTTGAATGAACAGCAGCAACTGAACGATTATGTTTCCTTTTTGGTTCTTTGCAGCACCATCATTCCTGAGAGATTCGATGCCTTCATTAACAAATATGCTGAGCACACGCATGATAAATGGGTCTTTGAAAAGGTTTGTATCAGCATCCGTGCTCATTTGTGAAAGCCAATTGCATTGTGGGAATAGGCTTTGTAACCTTTTGTTTCCATCTTTCAGATCCAAAACAACTGGACATATGGAGAGGTTCTAGATGAGAACAGCAAAACTCACCCCATGCTGCGGCCGTACAAGACTTTCTCAGAGAAGGTCTGAATGGATCTTCTTGGAATCTTCTTTGTCTGTTGGTTGTTACAATTGGTTTTCTAGAATCAATCTGTCTTTTGAATTCTCTCTAGGATAAAGAGATCTATCGCTGGCCCATTAAAGAGTCCATCAAGGCCATACTGGTGTGGGAGTGGACTCTGGAGAAAGCCAGAGAAGGAGAAACTGAGAAAATTGAAGTGAAGGCCACCAGGAAGATCTCTCAGACTGCTCAGGTAACAGAGAGATGGTACAAAGAAGATGAAAATATCATGTATGAGCCCAATATCCAAACATATATATGCATCTCGTGCAGGCCACCTATGATCCCAGCCAAGGATACTCTCCCCAGCCAGTGGACCTGACAGGCATGGCCTCGTCCAGAGAGCTACTGGTATATTATTTATATTCTTTCAGTATAAAACTATAACTTTGGTATTCAAAAAACCCTTGTGATTGATTCACTTCTCATGTGTCCCTCTGTTCAGTCCATGGCAGAACAGCTTGCTGAAAATTACCATAACACTTGGGGCCGGAAGAAAAAGATGGAGCTGCAAGCCAAGGGTATAATTGATTATTTTATTCAGTGTATCATGTTGACTGCACAAAATAATGTTCAGAATATAAACCCGTGGGCTGTCTCCTAGTTTTTTGTGTTTTTTGTGTTCATAGGTGGTGGCACCCATCTTTTGTTGGTACCATATGATACGTTGACGGCCAAAGAGAAGGCAAGAGACAGAGAGAAAGCCCAAGACCTGCTCAAATTCCTCCAGTTTAATGGATATGCTGTCACCAGGTACCCAACTGATGCCGTACAACAAGAAATTATGTTATAGTGACTAAGGTCTAAAATTACCATTTCTTGTTGCTGTTCTTTGGCAGTAGTTGAAGTTCTTTAGGTTTTCTTAAGAATGCTGAAAGCCTGTGAACAAGAAAAACGTCTCGGGTTACTTATGTAACCATGGTTCCCTGAGGTGAACGAGACACTGCGTCCTCTAGGGGTCGCTATGGGGGAACGCCTCGTCGTGACCCGTGTCTGAAGCCTACATTGAAAAAACACCAACTTGTTTGGCCGGCGACAGCCATGACGTCACTACCGTTGCAACTAGTACAAAATAGGCGCCGGTAGCGCACATCATCACTTCTTCGTCTGAAGCTTGTGTCCGCAGCATGGCACAAAAACTAGAGGACGCAGTGTCTCATTCCCCTCAGGGAACCATGGTTACATAAGTAACCC